AAGGAAATAATCTTCAGAAAAGGTAAAGAGGTAATAATGGATTTGAAGTGTCTAAAAATGTAAATTCTGGTTGGCGTTTTTTGTTTTGGATTTTGGAAAATTTCCAAAAAATCAGAGAATCGAAAAAGACCAAGTATTGAGTTTTCTGTTTTTATCTTTCATCACAAGAAGTACACTGATTTACACAAGTCAAACAGCCAATCATGCTGTAGGATTCTGGTGGTGCACCAGCAGAGGCCAATCAGATTTCAAGGCTCACCCCTGTCCAGAAACTAGACGATTTTGGACCTGATCTACCCCTCCACCCCTCAGACCTGGGTGGTGGCCTGAACCGAGGCTTGTTGTGAACGATTATTTGTCCAAACAATCTTCAAGTGTGTATTTGTCTGAATCTTGATTTCAGTTCCTTCTTGTTTTGTGATTGGTTTATTTCACTTGTTCTTAATGTGATCATTTTCTGTGCAGCTTGTTTTCTTTGTTCAGTGTTGAGCTCAGTCTGAACATTGTAACGAAGCTGCTTTCTGTTTCCAGAGTTTAATCTTTGATTTGCTGACACATTTTGTTCAAATATTTGATATTTGTTTGGGCGTGATTGTTTTTGTGTTTGTCTCGAGGCTCTGGTGTGTGCGTGAGCAGCATAAGAAGAAGAAGAAGAAGAAGAAGAAGAAGACACTTCTATGTGTTTTTTTATCGAGTTGGCTCCGGATCAGAGCGTCTTGTAAACATCTCGTCTTCAGTGTAGTAACCCACATTTGAGAGTGCGTTTTTTGGCACCAAACAAGAATGAGCTCAGAGCCAATCCTCTAATGGACCTCATGAGATTTGTCTGATTTGTGACTCTCTCTCTCTCTTTGTCTGAATCACCTGCAGGCTGTTCCTCTCTCTCTGATCCTCTCCACTCTGTCCCCTCTTCTCGTCTTTTTCGTCCTCTAGCTTCACCATCTTCTTGCGTCTGCATCTTTTGCCCCCCCCCTCCCCTCCCCCTCCTCTTCTTCAAGGTCCCTGAGGTCCCGAGGGGGGAAAATGCTGCAGTTAGACGTTTTGGTTTTCACTGAGCTGCAGCCGCTGCTGAAATATGCATCATCAGGACTCTGTGTGTGCACAGCGGTGTGAAGGCAGAGCGGACCACAGCTCGGCTTCTTTCACCTTTTTAAAAACACACATTGTGCCTGATTTACCGTCTGCTCCCACGGCCGTAAAAACACAAAAAGAATCCTCGTGGTTTCTGTTATATTTTCTGAGGACTTAAGTCAGCGTATCTGTGTGTCTGAACTTTAACTTTAGGAGACGATGTGGATCCCTCTTCCATCACTGAAAGAACAAAACTATAAAAACGCTCAGGAGTAAAACTGGTGTCAAGTAGAAACAGCGTACCTTCATTTATGAAACAGGACTTTGAGAGGAATGGTGCATTCAGGTGCTCCTCAGATTGTCCCAGTTCCTGAAGTTAGAAAGTCGTTGTTCAGTGTGTTCATGTGTTTTCAGGTCACGTGAATTTTATAAAAAAAGTATCTTCACATTAACAAAACGTATTTTCAACCCACATGTTGATGACGAATATGACGTCAGGTCTGCAAGTCAGACGCCCAGTTCTGTCCCCATTTTCCCCGAGAGTTGTTATTCCAACTTGAGCAGGTGTTCACAAGCAACAGGAAACAGGAGAGAACCAATCACAAGATAGAAGGCGGGACTTAACGTCAGGAGGAATTTGATTAGATTGTTAGCTCGAGAAAAGAGATTTAATTCCTCCTGGCTTTGTTTTGACTTTTGACTTGAATATTTATCTGCGTTCTTCCTCGTCCTCTTCTGGTTTCTCCTTTATGTGGAATCACGATTACAGACTACCGCCACCTGCTGGCCTGGAGAGTTATTGCCTCTAACGCATGCGCAGAACGTCCGTGGTGATTGGCCGTCGGCTGCAGTCTTTGCGGTGTGTTCAAGTGTAACTTTTTGGCCAAGACAAACAGCGGCCTTCGTCAACACTAGTTCTTTACCGTCTGCTTGGTGTGTCAGCGCCTTTAGACCGCTAACTGGAAGGAGGTGTTTTCAGGTGAGGTGTTAAGAGTGAGGCACGTCGAGTGTGAAATCAGTGCAGCTCGAGGTGACCGTCTGAACTAGCTCGCTCGAGCTCTTATTTCAGTGGTAAACGGATCAGAAACACACATGATCATGTCTTTTACTTCAATTTGACACACAGTAAGACGTCGACTTATTTATTTATTTGATTTTTTTTTTTTGCGTGCCTATTCATTTTACTGAGGTTTTATGTCTTTTTAAATTGATTCTGTAATTCACATGTAGTTTTCTTTTCTCATGTGAGCTGTTATGTATTTTATTTATTCTTCTGTACAGCACTTTGGTCAACTGTGGTTGTTGTGCTTAACAAATAAAGTTGGATTGGATTTTAAAAATGTCTTTGAAAAACAGTTTTTTTTGCAACCAAGCAGCTGAGAACTCGTTTATCCTGGTGTGAAACTTTGATGTGCTAATGAGTTTATCAGTGCAGACGGAGGGAGAATGCGAGGAAGGCGTTCTGTTTATCAGATGTTTCCTCAGTATGTAAATCTTTCCTCTTATCTCTTCTTCTTGTTTCTGCACAAAAGCAACGACAGGAATCTTTGTATTTACCACGAAAACCGATAAATCTTGTAGATGTCACAAAGAAACGATCAGATGTGATCATGAGCGAGCTGAAGTGGAGTCCGTTTATTGAGGAATCTGTCAGATGTGTTTTTTTGTTTTTTTGTTTTTTTTTAATGAGTGATGCTCCTCCTCTTTTCAGCTCGCAACGAGGCGAAGGTGTACCACTTCAGGATCCAGCGCTCCACCATCGGGGCGTACTTTGTGTCCGATAAGGTCTCCTTCGCCACGCTGGGAGAGCTGATCTCGTACTACCAGAAGAACCCGCGAAGCCTCGGGGTGCTGCTGGAGGAGCCGTGCGCCCAACAGGTAGGACCCCCAAAAGAAAACACATCAGGTTTTTACTTCTATTCCTGTGAGGACCTCGACTGAGATGATCTTCAAGATGATCGATAATGAAGGAACAGAGTCGAGTTTCTTTTAGTGATGAACAGTTATCAGCAGACTCTAAAGTTCTCCTAAAGGGCGATGACCCAAACGACTGTAGTAACATGATGCTGCAGCTCGCTCATAAAGCCCTGAGTGTACTCGCTTTTAACTACGCGTACACTAACCCATCAGCCGTGTGTATCCTGCAGGGTTTGGAGTGTTGATTGAGCACGTCCTCAAATTTGAACTCTACCTGTCTGTGCAATATACAAATAACCACTAGGAGCAGTATAGAGTAGAGTGACGCTGATGAGACTGCAAAAGACAACACCAGAGACACCAGAGAGCTGCTACGACTATGGTGGAAAGTTATTAAAGTCTTTCTGTGATTTTTCACACTTAAATGTAATATAAATCAAGTATATCCTCTGAAAATAACTCTGTGAGTCATGACTGACATGACACTTTGTTTACATCGCCCGGACGGCCGGCTGACTCCTCCCCCTCGTGTATAAAAGTAGTTTAATTGAGGGACTAGAGAAAAGAAGAATAACATACTGTACTCACTGCTTAAGCCTTTAAGTAAAGTTAACAGATCGAGTCCACAACTACCCGCACTCTGATGTGTCATTGCTGTCGCATAGCAACCAACATGTATGCCAAAATAGCTGCAGACAGATCATCGCTACTTCACAGTTTAACTCAGTCTCCTTTATGTGGTGCGCCCTCTAGAGGAATCCTCCAGTAACAAGTTTTGTAAAAAAGCGAGTATGTGAGCAGAGAGGACTCCCATGATTCTCCGCCAGCCTTGGCGTCATTTTTTGTAATTTTAGTAGCCTATTGATGGAGAGCCCCCTGGTGGTGGAGTTTACATACTGTATCTTTAAGGTGGATGCTGCAGGATGAGTTGATATTTCTCTTCAGGTTCATCACTACCAGAGGCTCCTTTAACTCTGAAATTATAAATGAAATCCAAACATCCTCCGTTTAGAGGAACCTCAACTGTCCTCACAGAGATAGAAGTACATGAACAGCTGCTGTGTGTTTTAAAACCGTCTCTAACCACACCATGTTTGTTAGTGTGCGGTCAAAGAGCAAATGTATAAATGGTTTATTTACTAAAGAGAGGCATTTAAAAAACAACAAGAGCTTTTAATGTGCAGCTGATTCTTTAAAGTAAACAGAGTAGAGTTAAACCTGCTGGTCATAAGATAAGAGACGAGATAAGATCTTTATAGAGCCTCTGAGGGCAAAGTGTTGCAGCTGTAAAAAGACAAGAAGAAACGTCAGACATCTGACGGGAGAGAAAAGGGGGGTGAAGATTACTTCGTCCCACGTGGTCGCCCTTCCGATGGCACACACCTAACAAAGACCTAAATGTGGCCTTAAGGTCTAAAAGAGACCGAGTTCGGCCCTACACGATCTGTGTCTCTGAGGCGTCTGGATAGCCGCGAGTGTATAGATCTCTGTGCATAATGGTCGAGTGGAAAGATGTCCTTTGATGTCCTTTCGTTGCAGGACGGAATAAGACCGTTATCTTTCTGATAATCTGTTATAGTCTGACGCTCTCCGAGAAACTGAGATGCGTTCACCGGACAATCCGAGCTCGGAATTTAGAACACTGCCGGCCGCGGATTACCTGCGCGCCAAAAACTTAAAACAAAGGAAGATTGTTGCAGGAAACAGGAGATAAGCTTGTGTCTCCGAGCACCAGAAGTCAGCGCGTGGAAAGAGAGAGAGCAATGGAAGTCTTGGAGTTTTGTAGCCTGGCCTGCTCCATGGGGGGTCTACCTCAGGTCCCCTCCAATGAGGAGAGAGAGGTTCCGGTCCCCCCTTACTTCACGCGTAGGTGCGAAGTACTGCAGGGGATTCTGGGATTAAGAGTCCTTTTAGGCCTCTTTGTGATCTCAGTGAATAACTCAAATGAGGCTTCTCACAGAGGTGCAGGCCCAAGTCCATTGTTTGACTGTCCTAAGCCTGCGTGGCCCAACATTCACGCATGAAGAAAAAGTGACCTATCGCTTCCTGTGGCCGCTTCCTGTGATGAAAACGTGCAGGAAGTGAGGGTGCTTAAAGAGATTATCAGACACCTTCCTAAAAGATTAGCTCAGCAGAAGTCAAAGCATTCAATGTGATTTACACTTCCAGAGAAACTCATTATCACTTCATCTAAAAATAACTGTCCACAGGATCCCCCCCTTTAAAATGCATAACTCATCATGATGTGTTAAGAACTCTTCAGATATCAAATCATTCTCTGATAACTTTCCTCAAATCCTGCAAACTGGAAACGCTGCTGGTTTATTCTGCATAAATATACTTCAGCAAATCCAGGTTTAGGTTTTAGTTTCAGCCCTCACACAAACACTACATGGCACCATTATACTTATGCTTTACATGCCCCAATGGCATTATGGGAGCTGTAGTTTTAAATCCTTTGCCATGATTACCTATAAATTAGAGAAGTGAGGATAACATTTGATATGCTTCATAAATCAAATCTGATGAAAAACAGTTTTACATCGTGTCCTAACAGCATGCAGCTCGAGTCAATCGATGCTATTTCAGCGAGCGACGCAGCAGCAGGAAACGGCCCGACACAACGTTTCACCCCGACGCCATGTTTCTATTTTCATTCCTGTCGCTCGCATGGACGAGGAAAGATGAGGCACTAAAACTAGTTATTCTCACTCATTAGAGCGTGTTAGCTTGTTTATACAAAATAAGAAGTAGCATAAATATTTAACAGATTGGACAGCGAGCGCCCGATGCTGCGCGATGCAGGACACCGTGTTTCTAAAATAAAAACTGGATACTTTCAGATTCAACCTTCTTTTCAGAGGTGGGGGAAAACTTTGATTTATGTAAAAATGGAGATTCTAAATCAATTCATAATGTTCAAAAATCTATTTTTTTTGTGGCTAATCGGTCACTCCCTGCTAAGTGCTAATGCTAGCTCTTTAACTCAGTAGAACGCCAAATGGAGCAGCAAGAAATTCAGCCAGTCTCTCAGATGACGGGAGTAGATCCTGAAGTATGTACTCATTCATAAACAGACTTTGAATCCAGAATCCAAAATAGATCCTGAATCAAACCGTGACCCCAAGAAATCGAATGTTGAGACACCCAAAGCCCTACTTCTTCTTTTTAAGCATTCATGCACACAGGAAGTAAACAGGTTGTTGTGTCAATATTCAAATGTTACCTTCATCCTCACTGCACCTTAGCAAGAGGTGAATTTGTGCCCTAAATATATTTCAACTTCAGGAAATAGTCCTCAACCCAACAGGATGTGCACTTCAGCTAACAGAAAAGAACTTCTCCATTTATTTTCACAAAAATGAAAAGAAATAAATGTTCCTGCTGATGTTTGAAATCCTCCTTTTTCTGCGAGCAGCTTCAGAAACATGAAACAAAGTGCTGCAGAGACCCCGAGTCCATCTCTCTGTTGTTTCTCTGCAGCAGGAACTTAATGAGCGCTGTCTTATATGCATAATTAACGCCGAGAGGCAAACATATTTGGAGCGTAATTAACCACAGAGTACAATATTTGGAACAGTTTTAGACAAAAAAAAAAGAAAAAGGATCACGTGTCGGTGCTGTAATTACATGCAGTGTCTCTATCTCTGCAGCTCGGCTTAAATTAAACCCTCAGCAAGTCGTTCTTTATTCATGGCTCATCAGACGGAGCCCGGCGGGAGACGACCACGCATCGGCTCAAAGACGTTTCTCACTATCATTTCCTGCAGAATTAGAAACCAGCTATTTAAAACGGCGGCGCACACACACGCTCGTCACGCTCTCCCGAGAGGATCACGTCATGAAAACATCGAGGTTCTTCCTTCATGAATAAAAGGTGTTTAAGAAGATAAAGTCAGTACCTGTCGTGGATCAGAGGCCGCTCAGTGATCCCTCCCTCTTCTCTCTTGTCTTCCAGACGAGGCTGTGAGTCTGAGGCCGCCGACACACTGACGCAGAAACACACTGAACACACCTGCTGTCATGACCGACACACACACACACACACACACACACACACACACACACACACACACACACACACCAAATACACAGAAATACACAACTTCACAGAGTCACTCTCTCTTACATGCATGAGAAACGGTCTCTCTCTCTTTTTGAAGCCTTTTTTTGTCCCTTTTCATTTCTTTAATTTATATATATTTGGTGAGCTTATGTTGATGTTTTTAACATGTGAACATGTGTCTCTGGCATTTCAATCAATCTTTCAAATGTATAAACACCCAACAGTAATCCATCATGAGAAAAGCATTTGGCAAACTTCTGCTAACAGGCAGAAACCTCGAGCAGAACCAGACTCTGGACTTTTCTGCTTACTCTGCTTATTTGATTTAAAACAAAATCCACTTCTCCATGTTCCTCTAACATGTGTCTCTAGTCTGTCTACAAACCCTCCAATAATGAGAAAAGTCCATCCTCTCCATCTTTAGCCTGCTCCACTTTTCAGAAAATGTGTGCTCAAACAGGTTGTTTGGAGATTTCCCTTCATGACATCACAAAGGGCAGTAGCCCCTCCCCCAGGTGGGTGACACTCCCACAGCTAGGTGTTTGTTCTGCCCTCTGAGTCTGCCTTCTCTTTGATTTCTAACAACATCGCTCCATTTGGTCGATTTTCAAGGTTCAGTGAAATTATCACACATGACAGTCTGTTCTGAATATCTGCAGGGATGAAGACTCTCTGCTTCTTGCAGACGAGCTAACTGGCTGGTGCTGCAACAAGGAACCTTTATTATTCCCAGATTAGCTAAATATTTGATAAAATCCCCTCACTATGTCAAAAGAATTTTACTCAATTCAGAATATTGTATTTTAAATGTAAATGCTCTAAAGTATAGATGATGTAAAATAATTTGTTCCTTTTAATGAAGATTCTACTTCTGCTGCTTCACTTTAAAAAGAATGAATCAGCTTTTAGAGAACAACACGTTTAGATCTTTAAGCCTGATCGGTTTAATGTTGTACCCATAAAAAGAGTCTCTAATGATTCCTTCAATCTCTTTTTATCGATTCTGATTTGGTTATCAAGCTGCCAATAAAAACGGCTGGAGCGTGGATTGTTATCAGAAGGATAGATTCATCTATCTTCAAGAGCAGATTCATCCCGATGTTTGAACGCCTCATAAAGCGCCTCATCAGCTGTGTAAAAGCACCGAGTGGCTCCATCTGTCACATTAAAAGCCATTAGTGAGATTACATCGAGTATCATTGTTGATGGAGGGAAACAACATTTCAATTAGAGAGAGAATTTTTTGCAAACCTTTTTTAACATTGTTTACAGACAGCCAATTTAACCCACAATGCACTGCTGTTGTGTTCACTTCCCTTGTTTTGTCCAGATCGCATTCTCACTTACAGCAAAACTTACTCTGTTGCACTTGGAAGCAACAGAGACAGAACAGGCTGTTTCTGTGTCTGTACCTTTAAATATGTAAATGAGCTGTGTCTGACCACGCCCCCTCTCTGGAAGGGCTTTAGGGTGTACTCGGTCTTTCTCGCTCCATGTCCTATTGTTTACGGTGAGAAGGCAGACTCAGAGGGGAGAACAAACACCGAGCTTTGGGAGTGTCACCCACCTGGGGCAGGGGCTACTGCCCTTTGTGATGTCATGAAGGGAAAATCTCCAAACGGCCTGTTTGAGCACACATTTTCTGAAAAGAGGAGCAGGCAAAAGACGGAGAGGATGGATTTTCTCATAATTGGGGAGTTTGTAGACAGACTAGAGACACATGTTAGAGGAACATGGAGAAGAGAATTATGTGTCGAAGAGAATTAATGAAATTTTGGATATTATGCAACTAAAAAGTATTTTATGTTGTAGAAATAACAGCTGAATGATTTTGATTTCACAGTATTTTTCACAATAATTTGATTTGTCCTGTCTCATTTCTTTGTGAATTATTGTTTTTTTATTAATTTATCATATTTTTCATCATTTCATTAACTTGATGTTTATCAAAGCGCTTGATCAGCAGCACAAACTGTTTAGTAGCTTCTGATTGTTTCTGACAATAAAGTTGTCTTGAGGTTTTTAAACACATGTTCCAGTCTTCATCCTTTCAGTTGTCGTTCACTGACCTTACATTAAGACCGCCGACCTGTCTCTGCCTCGCCATCCAAAGGACGATCTGTCTGCATCAACCCTGAGAGAAGAGAACAAAGACATATTGATTTATGTGATAAGGAGATGTGTTAATTAAAAGGTTTAGACAAAATAAGACCATCTAGTTTACGATTCTGGAAACATAGTTAAAGTTTTCTAAATGCTCAAATAAGAAAAGTTACCTGAAAAGAAAATCTGACTCGGAACTACACATTTCTCCAACAGCAGGAGTTAAACTCAAACTGATTCAGATGAACAACATCCTGTTAAAAGTTTCATCTGTCATTTCCAAGTTTTAGTCCGTCTACACACATTAGACGATTTTCAGATCTTAAACGATTTTAAGATCCTTTTAAACCACGGACATGAGGACTGTTTCTACTGATTTTTTTAAAGAGGACATATCATCCCCCTCCTCCATCTTTTCAAACAGTCTCCCTGTGGTCTAAATGAAACATCTGTGCTGTGCTTTGGTCAAAATATAACATGAATCAAGCACCAGAGGAGGTTTGTGACCCTGTATAAACCAGCTCACTCAGAATGCTCCGTTTTGGTGTGTGTGTCTCTTTAAATGCAATGAGCCCCGCCCCCTGAGTTTTCCCCGTAGACATCACTCCTCTGTAGAGAGAATAAAAATGGCCGACCTGCTCAAAAGTTTTGCTCTAGGCTGGAGGTGGAGTCCATGGGTGGAGATACCAGGGGAAGGGAGGGTTTCTCTTTTTTACCAGAATCCCACTGTGACATCACAAGGAGAGCACATTTGAAACTGAGCATTTTTCTCTGTGTTCTAAGACTTATGCAGACCACAAACAAAGGACTGGATGGGTTTATTTCACATTTTGTGGGTCAGTAGACACTCAGGTTACCCAAGTATATGTTCAAAAACACAAGTAGATTTCTTTCAGAATATATCCCCTTTAAGATAATAATCCTCTGAACACAAACACTGGATGACTACACTGTCATGACCTTGCTGTTACCAAATGGTTTTTGTTTTTATTTACCAAGTTTATGAGTTAGCTTGACATGTGCTCTTAGGCATACCTTTGACATTTTACATACTGTTTCTATCTTCCTTTATGCTAATCTAAACTAGCTGTTTCCTGGTTTAAGCTTCATATTTAGCGTACACAGACATGAGATAAACTTCTGCCGTCTTAACGGTTTCATAGCGGAGACGAGGCGTGATGGTTGGACACTCATGGAAACCTTGTTTATTTATAGATCAACACTGGTGTAAACAAAACCAGAGTTTTCTTTTTGTTTCAGCCAACAGTAAGGTCTCCCCGCAGCGCTGGCCTGAGAACACACAGTTCTGTATTTCAGCATTGTTCAGAGGGAGGAGGTGTTTAAAACTCCAGATCCATTTTATATCTAAAATGCACATTTCCTCCGTGTTAGGACTCGTGTTCATATCAGGAGGATACACGTTGTGTTTGTCGTAGTGTGCGTCTCTGCAGGATTATCCACTCAGGTGTTTATAGTAATGAAATCAGAGTTTGTGGACTCACGCTGTGCTCTCTGTGCAGAGGGAGCTCTTCGACATGGAGCCGTGGGAGAGACCGAGAGAGGAGTTCAGACTGCACAAGAAGCTGGGAGAGGGGCACTTTGGAGAGGTGTGGGAGGCTCTGTGGACCACCGAGAACAGGAAAGTGGCCATTAAGACGCTCAAACAAGGTAGGCATGAAGTGTACCAGTTTCATTTTAATTCATAGAAAACAGATAGTTTGGGTAATTGAAGAAGTGTCCTTAGTTTTTGTGTTTGTAGACGTCTCACTTTGTGTATCCACAAAGATAAAAATCCACTTTAAACGTTATCCTTTCTCTGAATATTTCCCCCTCTGCCTACTCGGAGTCGTTTCTTTTCCTTAATGATGACCCTGATCCAGAGAGTGATCGTTAAGAGTTCACAGAGTGATAGGGAAAGAAAAGCAGCTTAGAAAAGTTTTGCTGGAATGAAAATGAAGAGTTGAAAAGTGCTGAATAAGAGAGCTAAGAGAGTGAGGAGGTCATCATTCACCTACAGTAAATATTTCTGTCTCTCCTCCTGCAGAGGACACAAAGCAGGACGAGTTCGTGAAGGAGGTTCAGGCGTTGAAGAGCCTCCATCACCCGAAGCTGATCCAGCTGTTGGCCATGTGCTCCAGAGGAGAGCCGGTCTACATCGTGACCGAACTCATGAGCAAAGGAAGCCTGAAGTCCTACCTCGCCTGTGAGTCACAAAACACACACAGACGGAGATTTAACTCGCCATTCACTGCACAGACTCCTTTAAGTCCCAGTTGTGTACACCTCTTATTTTATTTATCTCATCTATTTGTATTTCTTCTTACTTACTTGCTACTTGTCTTTGTGTTGCTGCAACGACTGAATTCCCCTGGGGTTAAAGGTCACATATCCTCCTCCTCTTCTTCAGTGTAAATAAGTCTCAGAGCTCCTCAAAACATGTGAAGTTTCTTGTTCTAAATCCACTCCGATCCTGTATTTGATCATGTCTATAAACCCCTCTATTTCAGCCCTGCTCAGAACAGGCTGTTTCTGTGTCTGTACCTTTAAATATGTAAATGAGCTGTGTCTGACCACGCCCCCTCTCTGGAAGGGCTTGGGTGTACTCTGTCTTTCTCGCTCCATGTCCTATTGCTTACAGTGAGAAGGCAGACTCAGAGGGCAGAACAAACACCTAGCTGTGGGAGTGTCACCCACCTGGGGGAGGGGCTACTGCCCTTTGTGATGTCATGAAGGGAGAATCTCCAAACGGCCTGTTTGAGCACACATTTTCTGAAAAGTGGAGCAGGCAAAAGATGGAGAGGATGGACTTTCCTCATCATTGGAGGGTTTGTAGACGGACTAGAGACACATGTTAGTGTTAGAGGTAGAGGAACATGGGGTAGAGGATTTTAAAGAGTCCATATTCTGCCCTTTTTGGGGTTCGTATATTTAATCTATTTACCTACTTTTGTACGTTCACAATAGATAAAGTCCGAAAAAAGTGTCTGTTTTCATGTACTGCTCCTCCTTGCTCCCTCTACGCTCTGAGTCCGTCAGCTACACTCTGTTGAGCCCACACTGTTAGACCCCACATGGGCCAAGTCTGCTCTGATTGGTCTGCCGATCCGCTCTGTCGTTATTGGTCAGTTGCTCAGCACGCGTCTCGGAAACTTCAACATGAGCTGCAGGGCCACAACAAGCCAATGGGCTTAGATCAGTTATCTCACACTGACAATGACGTCGGACTGACACATTTTTATCGAGGGGGGCTAGAACCGAGCGTTACATGCAGCTAATGCTACAGCTAACAGGAGGACGTAGGAGAAGCTGCGTTTCCGCGTACTTTGAATTTTTGCACATAGATGTGCCTAAACATGCACAGGACACTTGGAGAACACACTAAAGAGCATATAAAACCAGAAAAAGCATAATATGGGACCTTTAAATAACATGTCACCTTTTAATAAAGTAAGATCTTATCTTATATATTAATGCAGCTCCTGGAAGAGCACATAAAAGTTCATGAAATATGTCAAAGTAAATTGATTCCTCTTTGAAAGCTGTTGGTTTAATTGGTTTTTGGATAATTTCCTAAAACAGGAGACTCTACTGTGGCTTTAAAAAAGCAAAGAGGTTTAAGTCAGTAAGTTAATTTAGCTTTTATGGGTTTGATAATTTCCCTCTTTACCTCCATTTTTTTTTTTTTTTGAATCCGTGTGAAAAAGTATTTAGGTCAAGCGACGTGAAATCTCTCCAGAGCAAATGGAATTATAATCTGTGTGCCGGCAGAAATTTAGTTCTGACGTTCGACAAAAGGCTTTAATCACAGAGTCTTAGTGAGCAGAGTGTGAGGGGCTTTCACTCAGATGGTTCTCATTCTCCGTGTGTGTGTGTGTGTGTGTGTGTGTGTGTGTGTGTGCCTTGACTGGACTTATCTGCTTTCTGTGCAGAATTAGCTGCATGGTTTTAGTGAAGCTTTCTACTTCAGTAAAATAGAACTCCCTTCAGAGTCTTGTCGGCTAACTGTTTGATATCAGTAGATCTTCATCTTGCTCAGTGTGACCCTTATGAGGTAAGCAAAGACTTCCTAACTTACTCCTCTGTAATGCCTCGGTGCAGAGGGGGGGGTCACTTCTTCCCCCAATTACACCTCTGCTACATTCAGATTGAGAGAGTATCGTCACCGGGGCGTAAATATCTCGGCTTTAAACGACAGTCTGAACAGAGTTTTAGACGACGATCTATCTTTCACTTGCAGCAACTTTTGGCTAAAAACATGACTAAAGAGCTGAAGGTGCTTAAAGTCTTTATATTCACACTTAAATGTAGAAATCAAATATCTCCTCTGAAAATAACTCTGTGAGTCATGACTGTCTACAATGGGTGTAACACCCGAGTCCCACTGTCTGTGATGTTTTCAGAGTTTTCAGAGTCCTATCTTCACTTTGTTTACATCGCCCGGACGGCCGGCTGACTCCTCCCCTCGTGTATAAAAGTTGTTTAATTGAGGGACTAGAGAAAAGAAGAATAACATACTGTACTCACTGCTTAACTGTGTTTCTAGATCACGCTCATTTCAGGTAAATTTACATGCAGTGTGAAGATACCAGCATAATAAAGATCGTTAGCATTAGCATGCTAACACAACAATGCAGCGTGAGTTGTTTTGGTTTCATGCTGGTGCTCAAGGGCGACATCTGCTGGATCAAAAAATCACATATAAAGCCTTTAAAGATACCATCGATTGTTAAAATAACAGAAATAGGATCCTTTTCAAACGCCTAGGATAAAAAAGAAAAATGTGTTAGTTTTCCGTGTGAGTGACAGGTGAAGAGTCCAGGGGGAACCCTGCCTCTCGCCCAATGACAGCTGGGAACCTTTACACATGTAGGACTCTGACTGTTACAGGAGCTCAGTTATCAGATAAAAACAGCTTGCAAGACAAAAATCCATCCTGTTCACCTGCTCAGCTTACACTGTGTGTGTGTGTGTGTGTGTGTGTGTGTGTAGCTGCTGAAGGCCAGGTGCTGACCTCAGCTCATCTGATCTACATGGGCAGTCAGGTCGCAGAGGGCATGGCGTACCTGGAGGACAGAAACATCGTCCACAGAGACCTGGCTGCCAGGAACATCCTGGTGGGAGAGGACCTGGTCTGCAAGGTGGCCGACTTCGGATGGCTCGGATCATCAAGGCAAGTTGTGTGTAATAAATAATGATAAGTCCTTTCTGTGTGTTTCTTTTTAAATATGTATACGCTCTCTCCAGAGTGAACTCATGTTTACTTAATGCGTGAGCTCCATCGGTCGTTCCATCGGTACACTATAATGCAGCAGCACTCAAAACACCATCTTTTATTCATACTGAGCCTCCGAGGCAGCCTGAGACTCGACCTTTTTAAAGCCGTCTGTTTCTGATTCGATGATGTCATTATGAAATCAAATAAGAGACAATCATCATATTGACCATGAGGACGCTCTCTGCTCGACTCAGTGTGCCGACTCATTGTCGAGAAACCTTTACGCTGACGTCATCCTCACGCCTGAACAAACTTCTCTTGAATACGTTTGGGTACAGTTTATAGAATCTATAGAAAAGTCGCTAAATCTGCTTGAAATGTTGGGATACATCTTTTTAAATTTTCTTTGTACGGTGGATTCCTTCCAATTTAGCCTCTCTCTCTCTCTCTCTCTCTCTCTCTCTCTCTCACCTCTCTCTCTCTCTCTCTCACCCTCTCTCTCTCTCTCTCTCTCTCTCACCCTCTCTCTCTCCCTCTCACCCTCTCTCTCTCTCTCTCTCTCTCTCTCTCTCTCTCTCTCTCTCTCACCCTCTCTCTCTCTCTCTCTCACCCTCACCCTCTCTCTCTCTCTCACCCTCTCTCTCTCTCTCTCTCTCTCTCACCCTCTCTCTCTCCCTCTCACCCTCTCTCTCTCTCTCTCTCTCTCTCCTCTCTCTCTCTCTCTCTCTCCCTCCCTCTCACCCTCTCTCTCTCTCGCTCTCTCTCTCTCTCTCTCTCTCTCTCTCTCTCTCTCTCTGTCTCTCTCTGTCTCTCTCTCTCTCTCCCTCCCTCTCACCCTCTCTCTCTCTCTCTCTGTCTCTCTCTCTCTCTCTCACTCTCTCTCTCTGTCTCTCTCTCTCTCTCTCACTCTCTATCTCTCTGTCTCTCTCTCTCTCTCTTTCTCTGTCTCTCTCTCTCACTCTCTCTCTCTTTCTCTGTCTCTCTCTCTCTGTCTCTCTGCCTCTCTCTCTCTCTGTCTCTCTCTCTCTCTCTTTCTCTGTCTCTCTCTCTCTTTCTCTGTCTCTCTCTCTCTCTCTCTCTCTCTCTCTCTCTCTCTCTCTCTCTCTCTCTCTCCAGGACAGTGTTTATACGGCGAGTCGAAACACTAAGATCCCGGTGAGGTGGACGGCTCCTGAAGCGGCGATCTACCAGCGTTTTTCTGTCAAATCAGACGTCTGGTCGTTCGGCGTCCTGCTCTATGAAATGATGTCACGAGGAAAGATGCCTTATGAAGGTAAAGTCCTCATTTCTCTTTTTTCTCTATTTTATGAAAAATGACAGCTTTCCTGGCTCGTCTGCTGAGAAGCAATTAGTCAAAGTGGTCGACTACTAATCGCAGGTGTACACAGCTCTCTCAGGTATGTAACAGAGGGTTCAGAAATGTATCTGAGGTAATCCTCTTTGAATTGAAATGATGATATCCTGATCTTCTTCATGAAGAATGGTACTTCACCTGTTAAACTTCATCTGCTGCACACGTCTACCTTTAAAGTAAAGCTTTAGCATAAACGTAAACCTACATTCAATCATAGGCAACTAAGATCAGAAAATTCTAAATTGAAAAGGAGAAAAATAAAACTGTTGATTATATTTAATAAAACTCACTGACTTGGGAATTTAGTACCAAAAATATCTTTGTTTTTGGAAATATGTAGCAAGGCAAACTAAACAATATCAATGTAAATAGTTAAATCAAAAATACTCAACTCCAAAAAAATGATAATAACTCAGACATCAGTTATCTTCTCTTCAGATAAGATAAAATAAAGGAAAACAAAAAGTGTTCATCGATTTCCTACCGCTCTGGTAGGAAAGGTTGTAGAAGCTGGTTTTCCTGGTTCAGGTTGATTAGCTCGCTGGCCAATTCCATGTTCAAAACGTAAACTAGTGCAGTCATCCGTTTTTCAAAACCTAACATAAGTTAGTTTCTCCAAACATATAGTTTAGACCAGTTTGCAAAAAGTTTTCTATTTGAAAATCTCCACTTCTCCTGTGTCTGTGAGCTCCTGACGCTACTGCTGTGCTGCTTCCTGTTTATGGCGGCAATCAGGTCACAGTGTCACACATATTTTAATCTCAAACAATAATAATTTAAACATTTCTGTGTATTTATATTCTCTGTGACCTGGGTTACAAACAGGATTCATCTCCTCCTGTAACATAGACGAAAACTAAACGAGTACCCTCCTCTGACTCTCGTGCTTTAATGTCCCTCTATTTTAGGAAAAAGCAACAAAGAAGTGCTGGATCTTCTATCATCAGGGTTTCGACTCCCCTGTCCCACACGCTGTCCTCAGAACATCTACCGGATCATGATGGACTGCTGGGCGGCCGAGCCCTCCAAGAGGCCGTCCTTCCACGCCCTGCACAGCCAGCTGGACACCATATACGCCAGGATTTATTTTAAGACTATAGAGGTGTAGGAAGAGGGGCCGTGTCCTCTGAAACTGTCAATGAGAAACGGACTTCAAACGTGAAGACGATGTTCTCGTCTTTTATGCAATCCTCGACAACCACAGGGTATATGAACTTCTAATCACGGAGGTGTGAGAGGATGAACTGCAGGAAGAACAGGAGGGAAGTGTTCAAACCTGAGAGGAATCCAAGAAGGAGGAGGAAATGAGGAATATGTGATTTCAAACAAACATGGGCACACAAATGGAGTCCGCCTGAGAAAGGTGTGTACATACACTCCTACCTAAAAACACTTCAAACCCTTTGGCACATTCACAGAACCAACTCTTTTTAATTTTGTACCCTTTTTTGTGTTTTATAAATACTATTTTATTACTCCTGTATGTGCCATGTCTGTGGATGCACACTTTGTAATGTTATGAAAATCTCAGTCGGGACTTAAATTAATCACCCGTCGTCTGACTGCAGAGCCTGTGCTAAAAACTTTTGAGGTATTGTGCAATCATTTGACGCTTGCTGGGGTTTTTGTTTTAGCCACGCTAGCGGCCCCGGAGCTTCAGGTGTGGATCGCTCCATTCGTCCAACACGTCGGTATTAATCTTATTATTAATTGTAAAGATGTTTTTGGTGATGTCATGACTTTTTATAGAGCACAAACATGAAGTCAGAATGTCCTCTTGTCTTGTTTTTAGGCACTATATCTTATTCCGAACTGTTGACCAAATTCAACTTTAGCCTTTCTTTGAGGTTAAAGGAATAATCAAAGGTATTTAAGACCAATAACAACCGTTCTTTACATTTAACTTCATCATAAAGTAGGCGCCTTTGTTGAGAGTTTCAACAGCTGAGAAGTCTGTCACCACTCTGGTTACACCCTCGAGCCAGGAGGTGATTAACCTAGCTTAGCATAAAGACTGGAAGCAGCAAGCATGGTAACGAAGTAACAAATACTTAACGGTTTGTTTAAACCTCTTCACAAAATGTAAATACACCAATTTCCTGATCACAACTTCTGGAGAAAATGGCCGACTGATATGGAAGATTTGGGGCCGATATCGACCGATATGTTTCTTAGGTCTTTCTTCACTCTTTAGAGATAAATAGATAAACACATTTATTATGTTGATGCCTCAAATGCAGTTCAACACTTCTGATAAAGATTTTTTAATGAAGATAAGATTTGTTTTCACAGTTGAACTTCACAGCCACACTAAAACACTCATATTATATCGGAAACCATTTTTAAAAAATAAATAAATAATAGACTTACTTTGTACAAACAGAGTTGTATCGGCCGATAAATTTAGCCGATTTAGTGATATGCTTATATTGACCGATATTATTGACTGGCCGATAAGTCAGGCTCTCGTTATAACTCCCCTGAAATATCTAATTTATAATAGATTTGGATCCATTTAATCAAATGATATTTGGAAGGACGAGAACAGCTGACGATTGGATAATGTTTCTTATTAAATAGATATTTGTGGAGAAGCCACAGGAACTCAGATGGCTTCTTGTGCTTCATTGGTTTGGCTGGAAAAGGAAGGTTTGCATGCTCTATGAGGCAAGAATGCTCGCATGTTTGTTTTTTTAACTGGAAAATGATACCATCTGTTAGCATGAGTTTAGCATGTCAGCTCAAAGCACAGCTGAACCTGATGGAGCTCAGGAAGGAGAACTTTAAAGTCAGGCTGGGTCGAAATGTTCAGAGAAAAATGGATTTCCCCTTTTGTGAGGACATCTTCACGCTAAAGAGACTAATCCAAGAAGGATCAAAGTCAAATGTCTTTGACTTTTCTACACATCTAGCAGCGTTTACATTCACTGCTCACTGGGCCTCTAGCGTGGCTTCACTCTAAACTAAGGTTATGATGTGTTCAGACTAAATGCAAACCGCCTTTCTTGCACTGCGTAATTACGGACAATGTTATCGCAAATATGAAAAACAGATCCAGGCAAGATGAAATCAGCATTAATTAGCATGAAACTACATCCCTACAGTATTGGTATTGGTTTACAGATTCTGCTGAAATCACACAAAATCACAAAAGGAAGTTTCTTATCGCCATCTTGGGGCACTCAGAGAATTGTAGTTTTGCGATATTTGAAGCCTGAAGATATGTGTCGGTTTCTTGATTCCAGCTATGGGCCAGACTTCAAAGTGTTACTCCCATTGGCTTTGAAGCTTGATCCAAAGGCAACTGGACTTAACGTCTTCAAGATCTTCAACCAAGTCCACTTGCCTTTGGAATCAAACTTAAAATTTACCACGACCTGGACAACTGAGAACCTACGAGTATTCATGAAACTCCAGCAGCCTTTCTTACTTGAGTTTGAGACGTCTTTTTGTTTGGTCTGAACACATCATCGGTCTTTTTAAGCTTGCCTTCTGTTACAGGACTTTTAAGTGTTTTGGCAAAATGTCACATGTCTAAAACTTCTGGAGACGAGTCTGTAGCGTACGAGTATTGGACTGTTTTTAAACCTGCTGTGATTCATCTTTTTAAGGGGCTGATCCAGTGCTTGAGTGGACCATAAAGCCACATGTACAGGCCTTAAGTTATTAAACTTGTTAGAGGAGTCCACATTAATGGCCAGTAACAATGACAGTGCCTATGTTTACATCACACACACACCGTCACACACAACACTCCAAAATGTGGATTTACAAGAACTACAAAAACAAAGAACAATGGGCGAAGAGACCTGCACGATGAATCAGCCATATCTGACACACTTTGTAGGGCTGGAGGGTAGGGGGGGTGGGGGGAGGGGAGGGAGGGGGGTGATATCTGCACCACCAAATTGTACGACTTTGTTTCAATGCAATGCAAATTTTGAGAACAATGCAACTTTTTGTCTTTTATGCATGACATGTTCACCAGGCAAAGCCACGTTCAGGAAGTTTTTAGCCATAATCACCTAATCACCGTCGAGATTGAGTTCCATGTTGTAAGCCGTGTTTGTCAGACGACAGACACCAGTGATGCAAAGAATAAAGTATTTTATGAATTGTTTGGAAGTATTTCTGTGCTCTTAAATAACGTCTTACTCTATAGACTGTCGACACACTTCAGCATGTGCAGTCGGGGAAATTAAACTCCTTTAAAAGACTGAAAATCAAATTGGTGCCATCCTGGTTAGTCAGAGCCAGGACCGCCGTTGTTTGGCCCCTGCCTGTCCAACAGGAAGCAGACCATCTCTATGTCTACGGATGAAAGCTAACACAAGGTTCACCCTCGATTTGGAACCAGCTTCATTGGCTTGGCGTTTCTCTTCTTTGCAGCTACATCCATACCTGTCATCCACACTCTCCCAGCTGTTTTTCCCCCCTAGATGTGCTCAGGCGTTTTTGGAGAGGCCACACAGGGTGACGCGTCTCTGTGTGATTGAGCGCTAAGACAGTTCTCTATTAGCTTTGCTTTTAAAAACCAAGAGGCTACGTCCACTTTTTGCAGTGTAGAGCTGTATTTAAAGGGATACTTCACCCGTTGAAAGATGAATCTGTAGGTAGTAGAAATGTGAAATCAACTAATCTTTTCTATGGAAACAGATGATGGCCTGGGGGACTGTATTTTAATAAATGACCTGCTGTAGTGATAACCAAACAGAGATTACCATCATATTATCTAGCCAGTGGCCGCAGCAGCCGTCTCGCCACTATATTTATATTTTTTCGCCATTATCAGCTTTCTCCACAGAGTCTGTTAGCGTAGCTTCCAAGCAATATGGCAGATGTTAAGTTTCAATTCTGGGAGTGAGTTCCCACCCACTGATCTGTGATTGGTCTGTAGCTTCAGTGGTTGAAAATATGAGGAATTAGCGTTGTAGTTTCACCCCGCTAACCGCAACAGCTTCCAGTAACGCAAAATGCCGATTTTAGCGTCACTGGAAGCTCCTTTTCAGACTTATGAAAAACGAAGATTTCCCATCTCGGGGGAAAATGAGGGCATGATGCACGACCATTCAAAAATACTACCAGGTTTCTAATGATACAAAGATTAATGCAACAAGTGAAGTATCCCTTTAAGTGTGGAGCAGAGTTGCAATCCGGTCAACTTAATGACTCTGTAGTGTTCTACTAACATAATGTAGTGATGCTCCCTGACTCTGACGTCTGTAAGTTCATCAACAACTAGAAGAAAGGAAGCTGAAAGAAATACAACTTTGAATGATGGGAACGTTTCTGTTGGGTACATCGTCCAGTCAGTGGCCTTCGGATTCTGATTATCGAGCCAAGAATTTGAGGAACTATTTTTGAAGTAATGAACTCTAAACCACCAAAGTGATCTGACTTCTGTCATTATTATCACCCTGCCAGGTTATTGATCTTGGCAAGCTAATCGAACTAATCACTGAATAATACACCTGGTATGTTATGAATGCAGAGAGCCTCGTTATTCCTTTGTTTGTTTCTGCCTAAATCATTTCTATGGAATTGTTCTCACACGTCCTGTCAGAAGAATTATGAAGACAAAGTGCTCAGGAGAGATAAAATACTTCTCTGTTTTTATGGAATAGCAATGTGTCATCTCTGTTGTTAGTTTTGAGTTGAACACCTGTTCAGACAGGAAGGGGAAGAAGGTGTGATGACAGGGTGAGACAATTACCTCTCTTGAAGGAGTGGCTGTGGACAGAAAGAGTATCTTTTAGTGTCTCATTTCACAAATATCTGATTATAGAATTTACTGGAACTGGTTTCCCACACAACAGGTCCTCCAACCACTGCAAACCACAAAGATCTTTTGTTCCTGCATTTTGATAAGACATGTCGTTAAAGTTCTTCAATTAGCACATCTGCCAAACCAGTCTAAAAAAAAACCTTCTTTAAAAGGATCAATCTGTCTTTATTTGCTGAATGAAGTGATAAAGTGTTCTTACTATATGATCAGACATTAAAGGCAGGGTTGGTAATTTTCAAAAACTAGCATGATTTTGAAAGTAGCATTCCTTCAGTCTGCACCCAGCCCCTCCCTCTCTGTGCTTCCATGAATATTTGAATCAGTGCAGGGTATAAAAAAAACAAAGAACAGGTTTCAGAAAAAAAGGCAGATCTAGCTCCCTTCAAACCGACATATTCCACCACTAATACACCAATTGTACCTGCTTACACACACACACACACACACACACACACACACACACACACACACACACACATAGTATCATATATGGAGATTACATATATTTATAAAGTACGTATATCTAACAGTTGTATGTTGAACATTGCACATACAGTTACCAAGGATGTGTCATATGATCTTTACATGATGATTTTTGAACTCTTGCATCAGTTTTTATTTCATTTTATTAGTGTTACTGTCTGCAGGCTCACAGTTTGTATGAAGTAACTTTTAACCTAAAGTTTGTTTTTGTGAGCTAGTTCCTCTTTTTGTCCGTTAATTCAATTTGTAGTTGTTGCACAACACATTTCCCCCTCGGGAAGTACTAAATCAATCTATCTATAACATTTAATTTATTTTTTGCATTAATTTATTTTTATTTTATTGAAAAATATAACAACAACAAAAACAAGCAACCCACACAAAAACACACACACAAACCCAAAACAAAAAAAGTGACACACATCCCCAATGACATAACCATGATTTACTTTCCGTTTTTGAAACCAAAATAATGTTTACATACATCCCCTTTCCATTATATATTT